CCACTCGATGAAATAAAATTTCATCTTACACACAAACAAACAAATATCCTCTATATATTAAATTAACACTAGTGTATTAGCAGGAAAAAAAATCGCAGAAAGTCCATGTTTTCATTGTCTTTGCCTTCGAGAAAGATTTGAACTTTGTGTATGTATGAACGATAATTGTTGTATTTGATGGATTACCCGTATTTCCATAAAACGAACAAATGGCATTTATTTTTTTCTGAAAACCTTGAACTTGTTGGTTTGCTGCGGTTTTAAAAGTTATATATCTTAACTTGCATTCAAAATATTGTTCTTCTATAATTTACAGCAACAATTACAGACAGAAAGCGAAATGAATTGATGCCAGTCAGTTACATGTAAGGAAACGACAAAATGTTACCTCGCACGTGTATCAGAGAGATATAAAAGAAAACGGCAGTATGTTAACTCTTCCCAAATGGACGTGAACGAAAACGACAGAATGTTTACTCGTGATGATTTATTAAAGAAATCGACAAAATGTTAACTAATTATTAAAGAAAAACATAATATTAATTCTCTGCGGCAATATATTATAGAAGACGAATGTTAACTGGTGGCGACAAGATGGTTATCATCCCTCGCATGCCTCTACCAAAGTGCCTTTCCATGCACTTAGCACGTTTCAAACCGGTAACATCTTGCATTTATTTTCAAATCGAAACATGGACCGCATTTAATAGATTTCACTTTAATTTAATTTATAATTATAATTGATATGTTTCAAATATTAAGCAACATATTACTTTTTTTTCAAACCAAAACATGCAGGACCTTGAATAGATTTAACTTTAAAATTATAAGTTTCAAATATGTAGCATATTGCATTTCTTTTTCAGACCGAAATATGAACCGCTTTAAACAAATTTCACTAAAATTATGAATAAAGGTGTGAGATTAATAGTATTTAAATATTTTTTTTCTATTGTTTTAAGAATATTAAAGATAGCAAAATAATGGTACGTGCGTTTAATTAAGTGAATACACTACCGTAGTATTAAAGTAACCGGTAGTACAAGAAACAACCAATGCGCTTGAGAGTAAAATGATGGTAAAAATTAAACAATTAATACTTAAATTTAAATTATCTTATAACTTACGTTATATCTCGTCAGAGTTTTTGTAGATCTTTGTGAAGCGACTTATATCATGGTTATATATTAATCACTACTGTTACAGGGGCATCAGTGACCAGGTGGTTAAGATCGTTGACTTCAAACCGCTTGGCCCTCACTGCTGTGGGTTCGAATCCTGTCAGGGACTTTGAATTATTTCATGAGAAGAAGCTATCCAGCTAGCTTACGGAACGCCGATGGTTCAACTCAAGGTTCTTGAGGTTCTCGTACAATAGATTCATCATTTAAATAGATCATTTGCATACATTGATTTAATGGAACATTTATTACTATTATATCATATTTACATTAGTAGTACATTAATAGTTCATGAAGACAATAAATTTTGATTACAGTCTCTAATTGCACAAACCTCTTTAAATTAAATGCAAATTGTCAAGGAAGATATTTATGGTTGAACAATTATTCCTACTAGCAAAGTAATTACATTCATTGCATGAACATTCCGCAGTGATTGGCAGAGTTTTACAATATGATTAGTGCTCATATTGAATAATTGACTTATATACTATACCGAACAATCAATTATTAATATCATAATAAGAGAAATAAGTACAAGAAATAAAATAAAATACGACGAGTGCAGTATATCTATGATAACGCTCAACATCATTCAATTCATACCGACTGAATATTGAAAAATTTAACATGCATTTTTGATGTGTTTTATTTCATACGTTTTTGTTTTTTGTGTAGAAGGGAACACTTTTTAGTCTTATGAACACATCATTGATTTATGCAGTTACCAAATTCAACATTTCATCATTATCACCGTTGTTTATATTTCAGTTGCAACATTTAATGCTGCCGTTTTGGAATTTCTTAAAGTTGTATTTCTCTTTAACTTACAACTTCTTCGTTGCATTCCGATAAATTATAGTGATTATTAAAACGTTTTTAATATATTTGATATACTTTAGCATAATTTACGGTAAATAGAGGCTAAATTACGGATATTAGATTTTCCAATAGTATATGAAACTTTCATCAAATAATAATATTCCAGGAATATATGATCAAACATATTTCATTAATTCACAATAATGCGGTTATTTACGAGGCCTAAAATGACCTACATTTTCTCCATAATTATGTTTTTCTGAATAAATAATGTTTTTATCTATTTCATACTTTGTAAATATTTATTTAAATGCATTTCAAATAATTTTACTTACCAAAGTATTATTAGTAGCAACATGCAACTAATTAAATTCAGAAATATAACCAAATGTGTTAAAAGTCAAATTTAGTTCCCCAATTAATTGGTTTGTAGAAGCCGATTTATTCCGATAATCTTTGATTTTTTTTATTTTTTTTTATTTTTATTTTTTAAATATTCATTTCTTCACAAGAAAACATTTATTCTTAATATAAACCATGACTCATTCATTTAAAAATAGTTTTACAACAGCATTACCAATTACAGTAATCACACTAAACATTCATACTGTTACACTGAAACATATAAATTCTAATTTTGTTTTTTCAATATTTATAAGACCCTGATTCGCACGATTATGTGTTTTGATAACTGCCTCATTTTAAAAATCTACATAAACTTAAAGTGCGGTAACGTAAAGTTGAATATGTTTCATTTCTTAAAACTGTCAGAAGATATGTTTTGTACGAAAGAGCTGTGGGGGTATTTCAACTTTATGAATGCAAACTTTTATCTTCGTGACTTAACAATTTTATTTCCGCATATTCGTTTTGTTAAAACAGTGAATTCGTGAAGCTGAAATCGTGAATTCTTAATGTTGAAATTGTGAATTCACGAACATACAATAGTGAATTCAGGAAGATTAAATCGGGATTTCATTAATTTGAAATGTTCCGATCGGTCTTTATTAGTGTTTTCTTTTCTCACAGTAATAATGTGTCTAACCAATATGGTTTATGTTACTAGTAATACGTAAAAGATCGGTATGCCTTTATTGAAAGAAATTACTAAAGCACGATACATAATCCATTATGGAACACAAATATATTCTAAACAATAAAATGCTGACTATAATTCGGTATATCGGTGGTTGCATCAAGTTCAAAAGAACATATTTCAATATAAATAGATGGGTATTGTATGGATAATTTAACGCTTTTAAATTAATTGTTCGCCTGTTACTGTATACATTTGCAACATCTGGGTCTTAGATAACAAAATATTATCCGTGTGTATTTTTACTTTTCTTCATTTACTTATTACATTGTGTTCAATATAATAATAACAATAACGATATAATAAGAATCATCATATTTATTACAGTTTGTACAAATCTTAAAATGCAGCAAAAGAAATAAAAGACACGTTAAAACATTATACATTTTGGTTTCTTACACTACTTACAAACAATGATATAAACTTTTTGAGATATGTCTTTTTATTCTGTTATTTGTAGGTAAGATAAAGCTCGAAAGTATGGTCTACAGAAAAGCATTTACCGAAGCAAGATAAACATGTACACAATTAAACAGCATTAGCAGTGTGACGTTATCCTCCATCAAAAACAATGTTCAGATCTTCCAAACATACTATTTCCTGCCATTTGTTTGGCAACTAGTAACACATAATCAGGGAGCCAACATAATACTGCCACAAGACTTTCTGATAATAACACGTAAACAGTTTGTTACTCCATTTGAACAAACAAATGCCATTTTAAGGTCATATAAAAATCGCGATCTTTTGTGTTTTCTTTTAATCTTTTGAGAACGTATCTTCTTTGATTTATTGTTGTTTTCTGTTGTTGTTTTTTTCAATACTATTTTAAAATCGCATGAAATATATATTGTATATAAGTACACAATCATTACTTCATATCAGTACAATTTATGTAAATGCTGAACGTAAAAAAGCATCATGTTCCTACACATTCCAAACTATAAATTCAGAGTAGTTACAAATGTACTCATTATTATTTCAGCGAAGCAAGATTTAATTTCCTGGTTTGTTTTAAACAACACATATTTAAAGACAAGTACTACATAATTATGAACAATTTGTTATTATTTCCTCTGCTGAACTATACAATTAATTTCATGGCAATTCGCGTTTTGACTTTTCCCCCGATATCTTTATTTTAATTGATCATAAATTGAGATAGTTAGAAATCTTTTACACTTTGTTATCTGAAACGAATGATGATTTTACCGAAATAGACATAAACAAATTGCTAAAAATCGCACAATCTATTTAAAACTTTAATGACCACATTAACGGATGTTTCTTAATTATTCAAAATTTCATCATTGTTTTGTGTTTAAATGTTGAGATCTGCGTAAGTCGGTGCTATGGGGCGTGGACGGTAACTTGCTATTTCCAGTTGCTTAAAGGAACTCCACTGAGGTTTATAAGTCTAAAAACATAAAATTGTGAATTCAGGAAGATGAAATCGGGATTTCATGAAGTTGAAATGTTCCCATCGGTCTGTATTTAGTGTACTTAGTGTTTTCTTTTCTCACAGTAATAATGTGTCTAACCAATATCGTTTATGTTACTAGTAATACGTAAAAGATCGGTATGCGTTTATTGAAAGAAATTACTAAAGCACGATACATAATCCTTTATGGAACACAAATATATTCTAAACAATATAATGCTGACTATAAATCGGTATATCGGTGGTTGCATCAAGTTCAAAAGAACATATTTCAATATAAATAGATGGGTATTGTATTGATAATTTAACGCTTTTAAATTAATTATTCGCCCGTTACTGTTTACATTTGCAACATCTGGGTCTTAGATAACAAAATATTGTCCGTGTGTATTTTTACTTTTCTTCATTTACTTATTAAATTGTGTTCAATATAATAATAACAATAACGATATAATAAGAATCATCATATTTATTACAGTTTGTACAAATCTTAAAATGCAGCAAAAGAAATAAAAGACACGTAAAAACATTATACATTTTGGTTTCTTACACTACTTACAAACAATGATATAAACTTTTTGAGATATGTCTTTTTATTCTGTTATTTGTTAGGTAAGATAAAGCTTGAAAGTATGGTCTACAGAAAAGCATTAACCGAAGCAAGATAAACATGTACACAATTAAAAAGCATTAGCAGTGTGACGTTATCCTCCATCAAAAACAATGTTCAGATCTTCCAAACATACTATTTCCTGCCATTTGTTTGGCAACTAGTAACACATAATCAGGAAGCCAACATAATACTGCCACAAGACTTTCTGATAATAACACGTTAACAGTTTGTTACTCCATTTGAACAAACAAATTCCATTTTTAGGTCATACAAAAATCGCGATCTTTTGTGTTTTCTTTTAATCTTTTGAGAACGTATCTTCTTTGATTTATTGTTGTTTTCTGTTGTTGGTTTTTTTTTTCAATACTATTTTAAAATCGCATGAAATATATATTATATATAAGTACACAATCATTACTTCATATCAGTACAATTTATGTAAATGCTGAACGTAAAAAGCATCATGTTCCAAACTATAAATTCAGAGTTGTTACAAATGTACTCATTATTATTTCAGCGAAGCAAGATTTAATTTCCTGGTACGTCTTAAACAGCAAATATTTTAAGACAAGTATTACATAATTATGAACAATTTGTTATCATTTCTCTGCTGAACTATACAAATAATTTCATGGCAATTCGTGTTTTGACTTTTCCCCCGATATCTATATTCTTAATAAATCATAAATTGAGATAGTTAGAAATCTTTTACACTTTGTTATCTGAAACGAATGATGATTTGACCGAAAAAGACATAAACAAATTGCTAAAAATCGCACAATCTATTTAAAACTTAAATGACCACATTAACGGATGTTTCTTAATTATTCAAAATTTCATCATTGTTTTGTGTTTAAATGTTGAGATCTGCGTAAGTCGGTGCTATGGGGCGTGGACGGTAACTTGCAATTTCCAGTTGCTTAAAGGAACTCCACTGAGGTTTATAAGCCTAAAACCAAAAACATAAAATTGTAATTTTTAACATAAATAAACATGAGCACTTAAAACAGAAATATAAATAAAATATAACCAAGTAATATACAAGAAATACATTGTAAATCATATGTTTGTGCTATTCTCAGTCCGATTTGAGAGAAAAGCGTTTAAACGCTTTTCAATTTAGGGTCATTTTTCACTATTATAATAATTATTCTGGAAAAACGAAGGAAGCTAATGATCTGAAATTTTGCACATACGTTATAAGTATAGATTTACATCAAATGGAGTAATAATCTCAAAAAAAATATTTCCAGTCCCGTCATTCAAAAAAACTCAGTGGAGTCCCTTTAACGGAACAGAGCCTGCATTATTTTCAATTTTGTCGTTAAAAGCGTGCATAAGTGATTCCGTTTTTCTCTCTAACATATATGTATACATATTTTGTACAAAGTGGGGAAAATAGATCGTTCGAGAGCAGTGTCAAAAACACAAAAAGGAGAACATTACAGAACCATTTTGATTGCGTCAGATATTGATAAAGTAGCGCGCAACATTTTTCACGCCACATCTCTCTTACATTTGTGAAGAAAATCTTGTAGATGATAAAAAAAAACAGACAAGAAACAAAAGCTTGAAACATATACGAACATACCATTTTCAGTTTTTGTTAATACTTGTTGACATTTATTTTAAAATCACTGTTCTCCAGTTAAGTGCATTTCATAGAAATAAATAATAACAGAAATGTTTGACGCTGTGTGTCTTAGCTGTAAAGCTCGAGTACCTTTGTGGTTGTTTAAACACAGTTGCAGTTGGAATAGTAAGTCATTTGACATGTCATACATTTTGTAGAACAACAGTAAAATGATAATCATGAGGAAATGTAGCATTTTGTTTCTAAACACAATTTTGCATTGGTAATTGCGTATGATTGCTGTAACGAACACTTATAGTTCTGCCACTGTTAAATGTAACCCTGTACATGTCACCTCTGTTCCAGGGCCCCGTACGCCGCCCACAACTCAAGCAGGCTAGAACAGCCACTTTGAATTCTTTCCGAAATTTGTCTGAAATGATAAGACAATCCGACTAAAATTGGGATTTTTAAAATTGCATTTGTTTTCATAAAATGGAAATTTACAAATGAATATGCTGTGACGAATAATACTATAATAGTATAATATATAATAAACACATTTATGATATCAGTACCGAGGACAGACAATATATGTTTCAAGATCTTCCCGTTGTCAGAGATGTTATGATTTGCTAAATTTTATATGAACTTAAAAAGTTATAAAGTTAACTTTACACAGTAAGCATTTTTACTTCGGATTTAATCGTATAAATGACTTGAAAATACATTTTATATTTACATAAACATCGCATGTAAAACTTTTAGTCCTGTTGCAAACTGATGAAAAAGATAATTTCCAAAGTATAATAAACTTAATACATGTAATAATATCGTGTCTATTTCTGCTCGTTTTATTTGTTTTGTTGGGCTTTCTTTAGGGATTCTTAATTTCTCTCTATTTTGACATAATAGCTCACAATGTCTGATGAGGAAACTGTAGTTTATATATTATGCCGCTTGTTTTCCGTTTTTTTTTAACAAAAATATCACAAAAAGAAATCAGTATTTCAGTCTAAATCATGATGACATTTGTAAACACAGACATTTTCAATAAAACATCAGGAAAAGTATCAGGAAACTAATATAAATCTTGAAGAATTTAGCCTGTAGTCGTTTGACTTTTACTTTGAGGTTCTCTATTATAATAAACCTTTAAAGGACGATGCAATGTAACACTGAAGAAGTTTTAAGAACAAATTAGTGCGGATAAGTATTGATAACAACGGAGATAGACGATTTATCGCGTTATTTTTTTAAAGGGGATATTTATTTGTCGTAATATTCTTCACAGATGAAAAGTGTAGCCTCGTCTAATATATCTATATAAGTGTTTATTTGATCTTACATACAAGGTACTACATTTCTACCTGTTCATGCTTTCGCAATGGGTTTAAATATATTTCTTTTGATTGCCTTATCGTAACATTATGCGCTGTCTCTGATAATGTCATTCAATTATGACGGTAGAGCCATGACATCAATCTTTAAAAATAAGCCTTTACAGTTTTTCAAATTGTGAATCCCTAAAATGAGTTTTTCCAGTATATAAACGCATTTTGCCTGCGGTTGAAAATATTTCATCTTATATTTCATTCAATTTGATAACTGATCTCAATCTGCAAGAAATTGATAAATTATAGTTTGGTTATGCAATTTAATTAGTCTAAAAAGGAAGAACTTAATTAAAACTATTCCGTTAATAGACTAAAAAAACATAACAAATAGTAATTCTTACCGCTCATAAAATTATAAATAACTGGGTTTACACAGCTGTTGAAGAAGATTCTCCAATGTGCAGTTAGTACAAATATGTTTTCAGCCGAGTGACTCATATTTTTATTTGATCCAGTGTATCTGAAAAAAAAAAGGAATATTCATTTCAAATTAGGTCAGACTTATTTAATACTTGCATTCCTTTCTTAAATCTCAACATTTTCCTTTTTTCTTATTAAATGTAAATAAATATACCTACAGTTTCGTTAAATGTTAGTTTGAATCATTCAACAACACAATCATTTCTATGAAAGTAAAAACCATTCATTTTTAAGAAAAAGACGCGTATAGGAAAGCGATCGATTTCAACATCTATAAGGAAGCGACTTTATCTGTAGCTGTTTACGAGGTTTTTATGTTCTTCTTAGTCTAAATAACTTAGCTGTTTGCCTATGTTTCGAATTAAAGCGCTTTTTTTATTAGATGCAACGTTTAACTTAAATCAGTTAACCCGACTGAACACCGATAGTGCGACATGAACAGTCAGAATTGTTCGGATCTAGGTCTTCTCATTGGACAAACAAGTCTAATACTAAATAATTATAACACCATTACGATCACCACAATTCATTCCAATAAAATGTGGTGCTTCTTCTCAGACATGTTTACGCTAAAGCTTACGGATTACTGATATGCACAATGTAAATGCAAATCTATAATTAGGCTATATAAAATCATAGCCTACTACTTGTTAAAGTATAGGATATGTATTTGTAGTATGTAGAATTTATTACCACCGTAAGAGCAAGGGTTAGAATATCAAATGTATATTTCAAAACCGTAACTTAATATATTGTAAAGGTGTATTGGGAAGAAGCATAATATTATACCAAACATAAAAACTACAGCTACGAGCATCTTGGCACCCTTCTTTCTACCATCCATCTGATCCTCGCGAGTCTTTTGCAAAACCAAATAAATGTTAAGACAGAAAATATATATATATAATTCACACTAGTTTATAAGCTGGAAAAGATTGTCGCAGAACGTTCATGTCACTGTCTTTGCCTTCGCGAAAAATATGAACTCTGTATATGTTGGAACGATAATTGTTGTATTTGATGGATTACCCGTATTTCCATAAAACGAACAAATAGCATTTATTTTTCTGAAAACTTTGAACTGGTTGGTTTGTTGTGGTTTTAAAAGTTATATCTTAACTTGCATTCAAACATTGTTCTTCTGCAATATAGAGCAACAAATACAGGCACAAAGTGAAAGGAATTGATACAAACAGTTACATGTTAGAACAAGACAAAATGTTAACTCGGAGATATTCAAGAAACCGGCAGTGTATTAACTGGTGCCAAATGGATATTGAAGAAAACGACAGAATGTTTACTCATGGGAATCTATTAAAGAAACCGACAAAATGTTAACTAATGGCGAAGGGACATTGAAGAAAGTGACATAATATTTATTTTCGGCGGCGATAAATTATAAAAAACGAGATAATGTTAATTGGTGGCGACAATATGGTAATCATCTATCGCATGCCTCTTTCTTCCACATTTTACACCAAAGTTCAATGCACTTAGTATGTTTCAAACAATTCGAAACATGGACCGCCTTTAATAGATTTCACTCTATTAGATTCCAACCGAAATATGCACCGCCTTTAATAGATTCATCTTTATAAGTTTCTGAAAT